TTGGTATGGTACACCTATCTGCATACCTTTAACCTTTTTGAGGGGAACGTTAGGGTCAATTAGAAAACGCAAAACCGTAGAAAAACATCATCCAAACCGCTAAATCCTCAGAAACTCGATTAAAACCGAAAACCGCCTGCAAAACTGCATAGTGGTGACAAGTGGAGCACAGAAGAGAAACAGGAATACAAATAAGGAAAACGTAAACCACATCGGATACCAAATTTTCAACTGAGGACAAACGGCAATGATGAAGGGCGCCTCTAGTTGGTTGACAACATTGTCATTAAAGTCAACTCGAGGCACCCTAATCATTGCCAGGTGGTTTGCCCTCAATTGTTCTGGGTTCGTCTTTCCCAGACAGTTGGTGTGGGATGATGTTATTGAAACACGAAGATGAAACACGAAGACATTCTTTGGTTTATTCGCAGGCTAGTACAATACTGAAGTATTGCAAGAACCTTTCATCGCGATAAGATCTTGAAAAAAAGTTGTCGGTATACAAAAGTACATTCTTTGAACAAATTTTCATAAATGAGGAGGTTATTAATACGAAGAATACTCCCCTTTTCTTAAAGAGTAAATCAAAATGCAATGAATCTTTTAAAGGTCACTTAAAAGTAGGAATTTCCCCTGTTAGCAATTTCCCATGAGATTTTCCTGAGATTTGTACGTGGACGATGTGATTTGGTCAAGGCTGAGCTGTCGCCATAATCACTCAAATAATAACTGATTCGTCATAACGAACAATTGCATTAAATGATTAAGTCAAACAGGTTCATTGTAAGTTCATGTAGAGCGCCGTCAACTGCGCTAAGCGCGTGACTGTGGGGATCCTCGTTGCGTTACTCTTATAGCAGAACCGAAAAGTGCCTGGGCACTAAAATCGGAAGGAGTGTAAAAGAATTAAAATTGCCTCTCCCCCACCTCACCCCTAGACAATGAATAAATATACTCTTAGTTTGCCCACTTTACGAGAGCTCAGCGGACTTTGAAGTTTCGAAACGAGGCTATCGTGTCACACAGTTAAAACTTTCAAGTAAAATCGAAGCAAACGGCTACGTTTTGAGGCATTTTTATTCATTTTCTTAAGGATACAGCGTGTTCTCGTCATGGTTAGACATTATATTGCGTACGGGTGCAACAGTATATTCAGTGAATCGGAAACTAACGAGATCCACAAGATTAGCATCGAAACCGCGGTCTTTCCTGACCACCTACAGAAAATGTCGAAAGACATTCTAACGGCAGACGGGCTACTAAACGCCCCGGGCCAAAGCAATGCCATTGAGAACGAAGAGAACATGGAAGCCGCATATGACACC